CCATCATTATTTTACCAAAGGTAAATAAAATACTCTAATCATTGAAAATTTTCAAATTCTGCTTTTTCAGAAGACCAGGAGTGTTTAACAACAGATGTTTTGACCAAAAATATTTTTTATTTTGAGGATTGAATTTTCAAAATTATGTTTAATTATAAAATTTTAAATAAATATCAAAAAGATGTTTTTATTTTTTTCAGTCTAAAATTAATGATTTAAAGATAAATTTATTTTATATTTATGATCAAACATAATTTCAATATTCAAATATTATTTTCACTTTGAAATGGAAACATGATCATGTATCCTCTCTCTTTCTATCATCGAACAATTAATCTCGCAACTAATTACTCTTTTAAAAAAATTCATAATTTTCATGAACAAAGGGGCCTAATAAAGTAGGTAAACACACTGAGTAAACCTTTTTATTTGAAAAAAAAGAAGATAATCAATTAGTACAAATTAAGTTTTGTGAAATTTCAATTCTTTTTTTAAAAATATCATTTCAAGTTACATACTTATTTCTAAGTTTATTCTCATTTCACTTTTAAAAAAAATAAAAATGACATAACATTTTTAAAATTAGAAGTGACAAAATCAGTTCATTTCAATTCAATTTATTTCAGTTCAAGTAATTTTTAAGCAGATTAATAATTAATTATTTATTAACTCAATTCATCTTGACTCATTTAAATTTAACCAATCCACCTATTTGATATCTTTATTTAAGATTAAAGAATTCAAATAATATTTTTTATATGTTATGTACTAATAATATACTTTTAATGGTATAATATTACTGACAGATATCATGTTATGACATTTTCAGACATTTTTCTAAGAAAAGTCAAGATATGATATGGATTTGGCAGGACTACTCTTAATTTTAGTAGTTGATGAGTTGATTAACGGCCATACCCACAAAAAATAAATTAGAAAAAGATTCTAAATAGCAAATCTAAGGAAATTAGTTGAAAGTGTATTCAACTAGCATTTCACAAAATCATGAGATCATTAATTATGATTTCATTTATATAATCATTTTAGAACATAAAATAACTCAAAAGAAAAAAATCAATCAATGTTTAAATGTATTTGGAAGTCAATTCACTTTTTGTACAATCTCAAAACAAAATTGAACTTAATTCACGCATTGCTAAAGATAAATTGTGGAAGTCATTCCACTTCCACAATTATGGATACACCTAACTTTATATTCAAGATGGTATGGCATTAATCTGATTTTAATATTTTGGTCACAACATTAAATTCACGGGGGGGGGGGGGGGGGGGGGGGGGGGGGGGGGGGGGGGGGGGGGGGGGGGGGGGGGGGGGGGGGGGGGGGGGGGGGGGGGGGGGGGGGGGGGGGGGGGGGGGGGGGGGGGGGGGGGGGGGGGGGGGGGGGGGGGGGGGGGGGGGGGGGGGGGGGGGGGGGGGGGGGGGGGGGGGGGGGGGGGGGGGGGGGGGGGGGGGGGGGGGGGGGGGGGGGGGGGGGGGGGGGGGGGGGGGGGGGGGGGGGGGGGGGGGGGGGGGGGGGGGGGGGGGGGGGGGGGGGGGGGGACCAACTAATATTAGTGATAATTTTTTTAATTAAATTTAAACTCGTAATATTATGATTCAAATTTGCAGTCTTGATATCGTATATAATCACAAAATAACTATTTCTATTACAACTTCATCAATCATTGTTCTCTTTTTTTTTTTTGGATATAACCATTTGGAATTCATAAATTCACTAATTAGACTAATTTACATTTAGACGAGGTAGATTCTATTTAAGAATGGATATATTTTTAACTAAAAGTAATGATAATTCTATTTTTAAAATTCGAATCCAAATACTTTAACTAAAAATGAAGAAAAAAATCCACCCATCCTATCTCACTCAATAACTTCATTTACCATCTATGGGATTGTATACTTAGGTATCATTTGATTGGTCTTTTAATTTAATCTAATCAATATATAAAGAGAGAAGGATTTAGAGTGTTCCTCAACTATTTGAATTGGTATAAAATTATCTTTCATCCACCTCTCGGCCCTCAAATACCTTTGATATTAATCTTTGACTCAAAAATATCCTCGATATAAATCTTTGGTCCATATTTGTCCTTATTTTTAACAACTCCCAAAAGTATAATTATTAATTATTTATTTATTGTGTTGCCTAATCTAATTGGTCCAAATTTAAATTCTTCTCAAATAAATAATAAAATTTGCATATGATTTATAGTTTGACCCGATACACTTGAAAATAATATTCAAATAATATTTATTTCATGATATTCGTATTAACCTATTTTAAATCAACCCCCAATTTAATATAGCCCAATTCATGACTGAGGATCTAACTAAAATTCATACTCACCTAATCTGATTGACAATCTAAAAAAAAGATTATTATTTTTAATTAATATAAAATAATCAATCAATTATCCAATTGTTTTGTTCATTCCTCTTTTTATTCTTCTTTGTAATATCTTATTCTTAATTAGAGTATCACGAATTCAAACTAGAAATAAACTTACATATTCATATTTTTTTAATTTGTATTATTTTCATGGTGAGTGTGGATAGGAAAAAAAAGTCATTTTCATTCTTTTATTTTGAATTTTGAGTACACACAAAAGAAAAATACAACATATGTAACATTTGCTTAATTAAATCATCTTCTATTAAACTAATTATTTATAAATGAATGTTGTCGTTACTTCTCCCTGTTTAATTTGTCATTAGTTGAAAAAATTAAAATTTAAAATGGTGGACAAGATCCAAGAAGAAAAAAAGTGGAAGAGAGAGGAACTGAGGAGGGGGGGGGGGGGGGGGGGGTGAGTGTAGATAATAGATGATTAATCTTTTTTATTTTTAATTTACCATAAAATTCAAAATCAGACCAATCATACAAGCTCGTGTATTAGGTAATTTCAAATTATTTTAATGGAGAAGAGTCTAACTCCATACACTTTATGAGTGTGAACTGTTAGATATAAACGTATTTTTGAGCCAAAAAATTGACATCAGGGTATTTGGGACCGAAAATGTGGATGGAGGATAAGGGTGGACATTTAGTATTGGTAGTTAAAAGTAGATACCAAATATCAAAATTTTAAATTTCGGTTCGATAATCAATAAATTAAACTTCAATTTGGTATGGTATTTAATTTGGTAATATCGTATTGAATTTATAGCCGATTGTATTACAAAGTTAATATTATTACTCCAATTATTTCTATTTTTCTATGTGGTTGCACGATATAATAGAAGATCAACAAATAAGAAGACAAATCAAGAAAATTAAATTGACACAACTAAAAGACATATGTATTTAGATTGTTTATGTTTGGTATTTAACTTTCTCTTTGAACTTGTACTAATGAGTCATGGGCTTGTTGAACTATGATCTTCATTAAGTAAATAATTCGGTATTCGATAAAAATATCAAATACCAGCTAATTCTAGTGTCTCATATCAAATCCAAATACCGTAACTCTAAAAATTTACTTTCGAATACCATACCAAATATCAAATTATCAAATATCAAACTATTAAAAAATTCGATTCAATTTTCAATATTTTATATCTAGCCCTAGATGAAGAATAATTTTATATCAATACAAATAATTAAAGGATATTTTAGTTCCTTCTCATATATATGAGCATAACTAGATAATGTTGCCCGTGCTATGCACGGGCCCAATAATATAAATGGTATAATTTGTGGCTAATAACCGAGTTTTTGAAGCGATTGTTTGCGTGGATAGAGGAATAAGTTTTTTTTATCACAAACCTGTACTTTCTTTGACGCTATTTAAGGCATAATAAGACTACTCACATGCAACATTTTTGAAATATTTTATGTTGTCAATTATCATGATTTATAGTATTTTTACGCAATTTTTAAATATAAAAAAAATAAAAATAAGACAAATAAATTAAAATGGACCCAATATATGTTATTTTTGTTGTCTCAATTTATGTGACACAAATGAAATTTGGAGAGTCATCCAAATTTTCATATTTTTTAAAAAAATGTTTGAAGTTATTAATTATTGTGATTTATAATATTTTTATGTAACTTT